GGGGTTGTAACGAGCAGCTCGTGGAGCTGCTCCTGCAGCGACCCCCGCCAGCGCGAGCGACTCGGCGGAAACTCACTGCTCAAAGTTGATGTATTTCACCACGGTTTGGTTCTCGTCGTTGTGCCACAGCGCCCAGATCTCGGCCGAGGTTAAGGCAAAGTCCACGAGAGTCTCCTGCGAGAGAGAGCGAGCACAGATTCACCCTCAGAGATGCACTTAACGACAGCAAAACACGTCTCGTTTAACCAGGCTTCGGGAAGAGCTCTTTATCCACGCTTAAATCCCCAAGCCCAGGCCTCTGATCTCGCAGCCACCCTCCCTCTCGTCCCGCTGCCGTCCGGGCAAGCCGGCCCCCAGGCCTCACCTGCGAGGAGAACAGGGAGGAGATGTGGTCGAGGCTGTAGCGGTTGCTCTCGGCGCTCACCAGCTGGAAGACACAGAACTACCAACCCACCTCGTAAGCCACCCGCTGAAGGACAGGGAAGCTCACCTCCCTGCTCCCTCTCCTTGCCTGAACCCGAAGGATTATCCACGCTGTCTTTGGAAAAAACTTAAACCAGAAAACCGGTACCGCTGCGGGGCACTGCTAGCGACAAGGGGACGTGGGCAAGCAAGGAGACGAAGGTGGAAAAGCCCCGAATCCTCAGGCCACTTGCCACAAAGCGAGCTCTGCGCGCGCTCGCCGGAGCAAGCGGAGCGCTGGCGGGACAGCAGAAGTCACCACACACGTTTCTACGTCGTACGGGAATCCCCTGGAGAACGGCAAGGGTAAGCTGTCCAGCAGATGAGACTACCCTGTGCCTGCTAAACTGATCATTCCCCGCAAGAAGCAGAAGTTCCACAGAAGGCGACGCGGCCGCACGCTCCCAGGAGCCCGACAAACGCGCTGTCGGCATTTCCGTGCTTTTAGCTCCTTTCGGACCTGTCCTTTTCCCACGGCACATACGTGCTTTCGGGATCCTACCAGAACAGGAGGTTGAACAAGTGAACCAGCACTCACAGATCAGCTTAGTCACCCTGGGAATTCCACTCCCAGGGCGAGGGCACGTGTATCCTGCAGCCTTTTGAGCGCAAAAATGTTTATTCAGAAAGTACTGCTCTCTCCAGAGGGCCAGACGTGAAACTTTTCCCTGTTTTTTTGCCTTACAGACCCAAATCCAAGGGGGGACGACGTATTTCCCGCGCAAGCCGAGAAAGATGCAAGGACAACGAGGAAGCCCCGGCCCTCCCTACCTGCCCTCGCTTGGGTGCGTGCATGTACACGCCAAGGTAAAGCCCCAGGGACTGGGAGAAGGCCAGCCGCAGGCGGTGGCCGGTCCCGGCCGCAAGCCGCAGGTCCTTGCTGACGGGCATGAACTCCAGCAGATCCGCAACCATCAGGCACATTTGATCCTAGGCAAAACATAAAGGTATCGGGAAAACAGCACCGGAAAGACTGAGAAACCGCCCTTCTCCCTCATCCTTCCCCTTTTGGCCAAAGCCTGCCCTGCTCTGTCCCTAAAGGACGCAAGTTTTTGCCTTCACCCATCACTAGATTTCACAAAACCACTGGGAATTGCACGTGGTTTGAGCATCTCCCCGACCATCAGCCACCTGAAGCGGGCAGCGTGTCCTGAAGCCCCCCCGAGGTGAGCGGCCAGCCCAACGACCGGCAGGCAGCGAGATTTCTTTGGGAATCAGGCTAGAAAATAACCTGGCACACCTGAACC